TTGATCCATATGTGAATTATATAACAAGGAGCCCATGTAGTTGTGTGATTTCACTTTAATCAGCACTGTATTACCACAGCACATAAACATCAGAGTCTGTAGTCACAATATTTATGCAGAGTTTACATCTTAGCAAGGTCTCCACACTCTGCATTATAGACTATTTTCAGACATGCATCTTCTGTTCTGGGCTGTAAAGTACCTGTATAGTGAAAATACTGCTTATGAAATGTAGTGAAGGAGGTTGTTTGAGCCATTAATTGTGCAAACCTGAGAAATGTTGGGGAATGTATTTTCTTTAGTCAGCACAGAAGAAAAGTGAGTTGAAGAAGGGAAGTCTGCTGGTTGCAGCCTGTGTGAGGCTGTTTTAAATAGCTCTCTGATTTTGTTTTCTGTCTCCTGAGCCTTTCTAGTCTATACTGCTTACCAGTTAGGAGTGCATATCAAGATACTGTGTGCAGCATATTCTTTACTGTAAATGCACACCGAAAAAACTTTGGTATTGGTGTAAGCATGAATTAGGGAAAAAGTGAATGCATCAGATCTGCTGGCATTCATTGCTGAGACTTTTAACTGGGGAAACTTTAAGCACTGGTCCAGCTACTGCCTCACTTAGCAAGCCTACACAAAGACCTGAACATGTCCATGATACAGATGCCTGCTCTCAGTTCTGCAAAGAGCTAATTGCAGTAGAAACATTTAAAAAAAAGTATTGGGACCAATGTTTTCAACACTACACTATTTCACTTTGTTTCTTTTTTTTGTCTGTTTTGCCCAGCTGGAAAGTTGTGGAGTTTTTTAAGTCTGATGAAAGGGTTTTTTTGAAGAATATCAAGTATTGGTTTTATAAACTCTTCATTGTACCTAGCTGTGATAGATAGTGCCTTTACCTAAAACCCACTTAATTCTTGAAGAAGAGTAATGTTTTTGTTTTCCACTATTCTGAACAGAAAAGCTTTAGTACCATGGTTTGAGGGGCTAATGATCCTGTAGTCAGTGAACAGGGAGGAAAAAACAGGCTAAAAACCAGTGAAGACTGAAAAGTGTTCAAAAAGGTTAAATGGTACTTAAGCCGTGAATGTTTCTTTTTGCAGGGATGCTCTTGGACCAACAGCTTCTTTCTAGCACTACCTCAAAGTAACTTGCAGATATAACTCACAGGGAAGATTGATCAAATGGTGATGATCACTATCGTTCTGCTGGAGATATATATATATATATATATATGCCTTTTGTTTTGTCTCATTTTAATGACATTTATTTAACTTCAGTGACTCATGTCAATAGACATTGACTACATCAACAAGTATTTCTGAGTCATGAGTTTCTTTAAAGGTATGTCACCATATGGAAATTGTTCTAAATAGGTAAAATAAGTAAATAAAGCAGCACTTGAATTTATAGAGCAAATGTCTAGTGTAGCTGCATTTGACATGTATATGGAAGAGAAAATCGTGTTTACAGCTTACCTTAATATTCTTAGCATACATGAAGAGGGAAGCTCGTTTTAAATTTGTTCAGCTCCTACCTGACCAGCACAAGAATGATTTTAGTCAGTTCCCCACGCAGGTACCATTTTAGAAGCCAGCATTGTTACTAATGAATGTATGTTACCAACGTGCAGTTTCCATCCCCTCTGTAAATCTCGCTCTTCCCATAATGGAAACACATTATGCTAGCCTTCCTTCCCCTTCTCTTAAGCTGAAAGCTAGCATGGTAATTGGTTCCTGGACAAAAAGAATTGCAAATCCAGGCAAAAATACTATTTTTTTCCTATTTTGATAATTATACTGATGTAGATCTAGAAATGCCCATTGTAGAAGCAGACCATCATCCTAAAATTAGTCAGCAGCTGTAGCACATCAGCCGTTTACGCAAAATGAGGTGGTTCTTGCAGGTGACTTCAAACAGGCATGTTCCAGGATAGGGATCGTCTATCACTGCAGGTCATCCCCCTGCATGTAAAACTGTATTCTTAATTGTGAGACTAAGAGTGTAGTTTTATGAGGAGAAATATCTGGAAAATAATTCCACTATGCTAGGTATTGGATAATAGTTATTTCCTATAGTTAATGAAAATGGGACAGAGAAATTGAGCCAAGTCATGTAAGAGAGCTAGGAGGACCCCAGTGAAGTTCAAAAAAAACCAGTATGAAGCAGAGATGAGGCAACACAAAATTTCCTAGTACCATTTCTTACAGCTGTTCCTCTGCAGCTGCTGCCAGCTTACATTTCTGTATGCCTTCAGAATCACCCTTGTTTGAGCTCCCCATAATTCCCAAAACCTTTCTTCAGGTGCGTGCTGGTTTGCACTGCTCAGCTCCATCCTTCCCACGGCAAGTTGATGCTAAAAATAAAGAGTGAAACCATAGTGTTTTCTCAACTTTACTTTCAGTAAGATAAAAATCCCACATTTTTATGTATTTAAACTTTGTAATAGGAATGCACTCTTCCTCATATTTTGAGGAAGTAAAAGCCACGGCGAAGCCTTTTCCCCTACCTCCTTTCCATAGGCCACCACTTAGTGATGAAAAACCTGCACCTGCTGTTTTCTCTTGCTTACACAAACTCGATCGCTAGTGGCAATCTGGGGGAGCACTGTGGGCTTCCCCGTGCAGTTTTTCCTGGTGCCGTTTTTCCTGCTTCATTGTCCATGCTGTTCTTCGTCAGGAACAAGGGAAACATCCCCCTCACGCGTGGGTAAGTTGTGTACCTGGGGGCAGATCGTCAGAAGGACAGAGGCAGGCTCTGCTCGGTGGTGCCAGTCTCCCATCACTGAAGAAAGTCAGGAACTGTCTGGATGCAATCCTGTGCCATGTGCTTTGGGACGACACTGCTTGAGCGGGAAGGTTGGATCAGATGACTCACTGTGCTCTTTTTCAACCTGAGTCATTCTGTGAAACACCGCGGGAAGAGGGGAGGTGGCGGCGGAGTCACCCGCGGCGGGACCCCGGCACGAACCTCCGCTCGTGTCCCCTCAAGGCGTCCCTGTGCTGCGCCCGCGAGCAGGCACTTCCCCCGCCACGTCCTTGGCGGTCGCGGCAGATCCCAGCGAGCGCTTTTCCCGCGCAGCCGGCCCGGCCCGGCCCGGCCCCTCCCGCTTCCCTCGCAGCGGGGGCGGAGCGCGTGCGCGTGCGCGGCCGGGCCGTCGGTCCGGCGCCGCTTGTGTGACGCGCCCGCGCGGGCTGGTGACGCGCGCGCGGCCCGGGGCGGCCGCCGTGTGGTTGGTCGGCAGGGCAGGGGGGTGCGGCGGCGGCTCGGGCCGCGGGCGGGCGGACAGCGCGCGGGGCGCCGCCGCCGGGCGGGAGAGCGGAGCTGGGAGCGGCGGGCGCAGGGATCGGGAGGGAACGCGGGGAAAGGGGAGACGCGCGGGAGGGAGAGGCGCGCGAGAGCGCGCGCGCGCGCGGGTAGGGGCGGGGCGGAGGCCGCGGAGGAGCCCCCCGCGCACGCACCAGAGGCCGCGCGCGGCGCGTGGCGGGCGGGAGCGGCGCGGGGGGAGCGAGGCCCGGCCGGGCGCGTCCCCGCGGGGACGGTGACAGCGGCAGCGCTGCCGGGCCGCGGCGGAGCGCAGCGGCCGCACCTGGGCGAGGAGGACGAGGCCGCCGGCGGCGGCGGGCCGGATCGCATCATGGCCTCGGGTGGCGGCGGCGGCGGCGGCGGCAAGATCCGGACCCGACGGCACCACCTGGGAGCCGCCAAGCCGCCCTACGCGAGGGGCAAGCAGCAGGTGAGGCGGCGGGTCAGCCCCGTGAACCCCTTCCCTTCCCACCCCGCTTCTCCCCCGGCGCTCCCGTCCGCGGCGGCAGGAGGCGCCCCGGAGGCCCGACCCGGCAGAGCCGCCCCTTTGCTCCGCCGCCCTCCCCCCCGCTCTCCACGCAGCCCCACGTGCGCGGCTTCGGGCCGGGGTTTCCCGGTGGAGCGGCCCGTGGGGAGGCAGGAGGGAAGCGTTTCCCGCCGGGACCATGGGCATTGTGGGATTTCCGGGCGCTCGCCCCGCTCCGGCGCCGCCGGGCTGCGGGGGGATTCTCGCCTCCCCTTTGTCTTCTGCGTGTCCCCCGCTAGGCAGGAGCAAAGGCGGGAGGAGGAGGAGGCGGCTGGGCAGGCGTAGGTGCGCATTCCCGCTCCTCGCGGTTGGAGCGGGCTGGCTCCCGCTCCACGGGATGCTCGCTCGTTTTGTCTCTGGGCTGCCCGGTTAAATCCTAATTTAATTGATCTTAACTGGATTTTCAAGTTAGAGTTAGTCTTCAGATTTAAGTGCATCGTTTCTAATATTTGCTTTTCCTGACAAATTCCAGGTTGCGAATGAGGCTGTGAGGGTGCTGGGTAGTTGGGCATCTCTTCCATTGTGGTTTCTTTTTGTCTCTCTTTTTTTTTTTTTTTTTTAATAGGATGCTGCCTACAGAACCCTTAGGTTTTTTTTTTTAGTGTCTTGCCTGTCCCTAAACGTGGTGGTGCAGTGCAAGCACAATGTAATTCATGAGGCATTTGTTCTTCTTTGTGTTGTGGGACAGAATAGATGGATAACAGAAAAAAAGCAGTTTGTAAATTGTGTTACAAAGATCCTATGCCATTTAGAATGGCTGCAGAGAGTAGAAGCAAAGATCCTTCCTAACTCCTGTTTGTCAGAGAATTTCAAGATGCCTGGAGATGGTGCTCTGGAAATGCCTTTCACGTGTATTTGTGAACCTGAAATTGACTGTAAAACCAAGCGTTTACGTTATTAAAGCGGTAATATAAGCCAGGAGATTAAATATTATATGCAAAATTGAGGGCATGTTATGCATAAATTGTTGCTCAATTAGTTCTTATTTGGGAAGTACGATTCTTAATCCTTTGTATAACACTGATCAGCAGTGTTGTCCTTGTAAAGTGGGCAGGGTGACTCTTCATCCAAAGAATCATTGCACTTGCTGAGCAAATGTTGAAAGCTCTTACGTGAACAACAGTAATGTTGAAATTTCAATATGCTGCACATGGTGATACTGTGTAGATAACTAATAAAACAGATGAATTAAAAATAATTAGGTGAGATGATTTTCTGATTATTCTATTGTCTGTTACCTCTGCGGGTTTTCTAGTAGGTTTATTTAAACAATGGGGCAAAGCAAACATGTGCCTGGGGGGATATCTGTGAGATGCAGCCCAGAGCATGGATGCTGCAAGTTGAATACATCAATCAAATTAACAAGTAGTATATTGGGGAAGAAATGGTAAATAGTCAAACAGATAGGTGTCAGATGTGCATTTGTCATAAATTATGGCTTTTTAACCCTATGTAGCTTGCTAACCTGCGTTACATAAAAAGATGAGCTCTGGGTAGATAGCTGACTTGAACTGGAATTAATTGATAATTTTATTTTCAATAAAACATCCACTCTGCAGAAAGTATTCTGTGGTTTGGTGTTGTCTCTCAGTAATGAGTTTGAGAAGACATAGAAGTGCTCAGTGCAGACTGGACATGATCTCCTGCTCCCCTAACTTATCAATAAGGAAGCTCATAGAAGTACTGTATTAGAACTGTTCTAAGTGCTTTAGATCAAGACTGCAGTCTCTTATCACCAAGCTCTGAAGGTGCCTAAGCACTGAATGCCATATTGCTAAAATCTTTACAGTTCTTAGGATATCTGATTCTTTTCCACTTGTATGATAGATGAGTAGTAGCATGATGCCAGGCTTATAACAGGCCTGTTGTGTGTTTTTCTTAAGTTGTTATGCTTTCTTGATGTTGTTGTTTTGCCATAGTCTCCCAGGGAGCTTGGTCACATGTGAATTCTCCAGTGGTCCCTAGCATGTTGCAGTCAGTCTTCCATTAAGTGCAGCAATGGCTGCACTTAATGGAAGATATTTGGAAGATATTTGGAAGAGAAGATGATGCTGCTTTTCAAAGATGATTAGCTAAAGCATTTGTTCAAAATGTGGTAGACCCTGTTTTAGATTTTTTTACTTAGAGGCATCAACCTACATCTTCCACTTTCTGGGCAAATATCCCAGTTGCCAAGCTGTATGCTGTCTTTGAGTTCTTCTGACTGAAACTGTGTTATTATCCAGAAAAAGAATGTGTGATTCATTGAGCCAGGAAGAGGATGTATAAGAAGATGTTACCTTCCAAGAGTGGAGACATACAGCCTGTGATCCATGATTTCAGAAGTTATTTGTTTTATATATTCTTGGAATAAACATGGAAAGTGCAGAATTTCCTGCCCTTTTCTCCCCAGGTGCCTGATAGAGCCATATTGCGTTATATTTGCATGTGTTTTTGGTTTTTTTTAACTGTGGAGGTTTTTTTTGAATCAATCTCAGATAGGAGAGATGAACAGATGCTGCTTGGAGGATGTGACTTGCAGCTTTTATTTTCTCTTGGAAGATGGAGCTATGAGTAGATTTCCCCCAGTAGTGAAGGAACTTAACCACAGTATTTTCCTTTCTGGGCTACCATCCTGCCTTATAAAAAATGCACTGTCAGTGGTTGTATTATTAAACCAAGAGACAAAAAGTAGTAGCACAATGAGGTAAGGACAGTATCCACTAACCATGAAGATTTGAGGTGGGGGAATCACAGAACAAAAAGAGCCTTTTTGTATCTCTTTGGTGGGTGTTCCTGGAGTAGAATTGTGGAGTTCTTCTGTTGACTGTGCTTTCCTTGGGGTAGAATGTTGACAGCTCCACACTGACTGCATTGACTTTAGGTTATGCTGTGCTCAGCACACTGTTTACTTGGCCATCCCATGCTGAAATATCCTGCCTCCTCCTGCACTTTTTAAGGAGCTTAGGCACTTGGGTTAAAATTACAACTTCTTTGAGAGATAAGCACATGCCAAGTGAGGGAGCTGTTCTGTCCAGCATCTGGATTTCATCTTCCAGATGTGGCCCCAGTGTTTCTAAGTGCTGATTTGTCCTGGTCATTTGGGTAGACTGATGATGGGAATTACCGATGCGGATGTGTTAAATGGGAGGGATGTTTGCATTGCTGGCTTATTAAACGCCTTCTAGAAGAGTATTTGTATGTTCCTACTGTTAATTTTCTGTTTAGTTTTGCGCTTTTTTGTGCTTGTGCTGGTTTAACTTGGATCAGTGCCATTTCTCACCCAGGTAACAGATTTCAGAGATCTTAAGTGTCACTGAAAGGAGAAGAGAATAAAATAAGTTTTTTTGGTAATTTTTTGAGAATTAAGCATTCAAATGAAGGAGTCAGATAACTTTGATTCTCCTGCACTTTTATTTAAACTCATACAGGCAGATTTAAGCATGAGGAAAAAAGAGTTACCTGAAAAGTATTTATAACCTTCCCATAGACGTCTATATTCATGTTAAGCTTTAGCTTAGAGCTGTTTGATATTGGAGATCATGTCTGTAGATTCAAACTTCTGCTGAGGAGTGAGGTTTTCCTTTTTTCCTACATGTGTATATACCAGTGCATATTTATAATGTAGATATCCAAATCCAACAATGTTTTCCTTGATGAAACCAGGGTAAGTCTGTGCATATATTGTAGTTGGTCTTGTGGTGATGTAGTTAGGATATAACCTGACGAAAGGGACCAGAATGTCACTGGAAGCCACTTTCACAGGCCTGAGTCATGAAAGCCCCTGTGGATTTGTTTGTTTCACCAAGTCACTTTATATGTCACGTAAGGTTCTTCCCAGAGGGACTAGCCTACAGGACTGGGGACTGAAAACTGTATGCAGCTGTGTCTAAAGCATTGCCTTGTCACCCGCTGCTGTCTTGAAGGTAGGCCTTGCTTGGCAGTGACTGCAGGCAGTGGGCAGAAGGGATCTTACAAACCACAAGGTTTATTTTGTCAGGAAATGTTGAAACTTAAGCATGATGCTTAAGAATTCCAAGAGTATCACATTGAGCAATGTAGCCTAGATAATGTTTCATAGGCCTTAAACAGGAAAATACTAATTTAGAAAATCTTTATTAAGAATGTCCATGTGGACCTACACAGATGCAATTGTATTAACTCCAGTCAACAGGATTGCACCTTGAAGCACACTTTAATGTGGTTGTATTTGGATGCAGTTCTGCTTGATTTGGTTTGGTAGTAACCCAGCAGTAAGCATTGAGCTAAAACAAATAGATGAGAAGAAATGTTTAATATGTATTTAAAAATTTGTTTTAAAATATGGGCTAATCAGAAGTTTTGTCTTTGTCCCAGCAATATGATACTGACAAAACAGGTGTTTAAATTTGGCACTTGGCTTTCTATTACTACTGTAAACAAAAATGTATCCTAATTGGGAAGAACTTATAAAATTGAAATATTGACAGTTTTCTCTCATTTAGACTAGCAGTACTGAACAATTATACAAATTGTAGATGATGATTGCTATAGCATTTCATTGATATTCTAGGGTTTGTTGTTACAGTCTTGGAGGCTTGAAATGTTGAGGACAAATAGTATTAGTGGGTGATATCTTAGGAGGGGAAAAAAGCAGATGAAATAATTGACTGTGTTAGCTGGGACACTGCAAATTGTCTTTGGTTGCTGGCAGCACATCACTTCCTCTGAGTTATTTATTCCTCCATTAAGTAATTAGAACCAGTTCTTGCTCTCCTGCCATGGACAAACTGAGCTGCTGCTGCTTCTAACAACTTGGCAGGAAAGAGTTCAGAATCTCTTTTGTGTGCCCAAAAATGTTTGAGCAAAAGTATTCCAGGTTGGCACAGGTGGTGGGCTGCCGTAGCATCATGTAATGAACTCATAATACACTGGGATGACTGGAT